CCCCCCCCCCCATTCGAGTGCATCCCTCACATAATTCGGGAAAGAACTCGTGGTTGAGAGAAGTTATGCTCGCGCAAGCGTTTATCCCGACTACTTTAAGAGACATCGTTACGTGCAACATGTATACGTTTCGTTAGTGTCGTGCCTGTATTTTTATAAGGACGAGACAAAGTGTGTTGACTTCCTGTGCATATTGCACGAGTTGTTCTGTAAGAAAAGTCAACGAACTTTAGAGGGATGAAAGGCAATGGTGAAAACTTAATTTTCTAAAGGAATTAAAATAACTATTGTAATGTTTTGTATATATTGTAATAAAAGACAGAATCTAGGAGAACAAAATGTATAAGCTGCATCATTTAGCATCGTTATCGGCATAATTGTAGCACACATGTACGAATGGACATCGATGAAAACGAGCGTTGAGATGTTTCATAAGTTTTATTATTAAAGCGCACGAATTTGTCATGAATACGACAAATGATAATGCACGACGGACGACCCCCGTGGTTACAAAACAAAGTGTAATGCTCGTTTGACCGTGTTGCGGCACTAGGATTGCGCGACGGCCAGCATCTCTTCCTGATGAATCAAGTGAGTGGTATGATTGACCAGGCTCATCAGCTTCGAGAGCGAGGCAGCCCAAGTATCCAAAATAGCCGCCGGTTCCTGAGTACCAGTAAAACGTACTACACCGGCTGGTCTATCGGTACGAGCACTGATCACACCAGTCTCGACCAGATTGCAAAGGCAGGCTTCGGTCTCTTCTACGGGAAGGTCCAGCAACTCTGCCATACGTGTCAGCGTGATCTTCGTGTAGTATTTTGCCATTATTCGAATATTCTATAAAACGACATTGTTAAAAAAAATTGAACATCGCCCTACCCAAGGCTTATTTGAGATTTCATTGAGATTGCTTTATACTTACATGCTCGACGACCCTGTTGCGCAGATCCGCCCATCTTTTAGAGCCTTCCTCGGTGGTGGATGAGAATACTTCAGTATCTCTTAGATCCCGTTCATAAATTTCACAAAGTCCGGACCATTTAATTAGTTCCGGATTGACGAATAATCGAAGCAGTTCCCTGCACAAGATAGAGGTATAATTTTCCGAACAGGTGCTCTTGTGCAAACCCGTTCATCTTCTCAAAACGAAAGACAACTTACTTGTACGTGGGTATTTCGTCCAGGAGTTTATCTGCGAGTAGTCTATGAGTTAAATCCGCCTGTTCCGGTTCGTGAGGAGCCAACACAAGATAGAGAACGGCGCGCGACAGGGCGGTGTGTCGTTTCTTAGGATCGCCCTTTACCGTTGGTGTTTCGAGTACGGCACGATTGTGTCGACACAGTTCGAGGTGCCATCCTTCGTGACGTGCCAGTTCCATCATCAAGCTGAAGTAATTCAAGTATACGAAAGAATTATGATTTGGCCATAATAGATGTTGCAACGAAACGATACGCACTCGTAGTATTTCAATTTCAATGCCTGCGTCTCCTCGTCGTTCTCGTCGTCGAAAAACTTTATATTGATCTTCTTCGCGATGATCTGCGTACGTACGAAGTCTTGTTTGGCTAAACAGAGCCGCATTTGTTCCAAGATAAGAGAGGCCTTTTCCCTTCTGGACATGCTACCATAGGTCTCTACTTGCAATTCCAGCATTACCGCTGCGGCTCCGGCTACGTCGCCATCCTCTTCCTTTAATTTTGCCAGGCGATGAGTCAAGCGAGCCCTCTCGACTTCCACGTAGATCTGAAAGTATAAAACCTCGTTTCCAACTATGTTCGAGCCTGATGCAAACGACTAATTTTACCTTCCCTTCAGTGACGGAACGCAGGGTTTCAATAAGTTTTATCATAGTTTCTCTGTTTGGTGTTTTATCTACATAGGTACAGCATTCCTGGACCATTTTAGTGACAGCTTGTTTAAGCTGAGAACGTCGTTTAGAAAGTAGAACTATGTGTTCATTAAGGGCAGCCCAGTTCTTGGCTTCTAAACAAATCTCGACAATAGCAACCAAAACTCGAGAGGTTGATATCATGTCAGCACCCTACAAATAATTTGAATTTGTTAGCAACAGTATATTGTTTGCGGTGGATTAGATTTTTGTTCTCCGTTATGGATACCAACTGTTCTTGTAAGCTTCTCTAGAGCTAATAATTGATCAAGGGCGTCATGTAGCTTGCCCTCTCTAGCAAGTTTCTTGCATTCTGGAATTTTTGTGTCGCAGTTGCTGCTATAATCAACCTCCATCTTGACAATTCTACCAGTCTCCATACTTGAACCTTCTGCCATCGTTAAACTTTTCTTGTACAGTGAAAGAATAAGCTGCCAATTACAATATATATATATGTTTAACGAATGAGTAGGGAATAAATTGCTGTCATCACTGTAATTAGTGAAAAACTATTTTTACACCTATCATTACAATGCACTTTTTAAACCCTCTATGTGGAAAATATTGTTCTGTAGCATCCCAAATTCTTAACTATGCCGTCTAGAACGTAAAAATGATCAAATGCAACAAATGAATTAAAAATCATAGAAATGCATCTTGAGTGTGCGAAACAAAATAGCAATGAAGTGTACGTTATTGAGGTTATACCGCGTTATATCAGACATCCACAAACGCGAAGAACCTTACTCAACCAAAGGATACAAGAATAACGATAAAATTTTTACATTATAATTTCACGTTCAGCTGAGAGACTGGTTGATGTTAACTTACTCAAGAAACAAAGGTTTGCAAGGATTCTTATACAAAAAAAAAACTAGAATCACGCAGCACAATAGTCAAACGCAATTGTCAGACTACGAGGGAGATCAACTGAAATTAAGCGTCAAATGACTTACAAGAAATTCTTCTGCGTACAGAACAAACGTTCTAAAGGAACACCATAAAATCTAATTAGACTTTTTCCTGTAGATACGATAGATTTTAGAAAGAAAAAATTCGCATTAACTGTAATATGTTGCCCGAGAGAGTCGCGTATCTGACATTGTTGGTCCTTCCTTCCTTTCCTTATGGCTGTATCCCCAATGGGGGACATGTGCCAGTAACTGGTCCTAATAATCAAGGTTGGAAGTTCGACAATAGATGGCAATGTACCTTGCGAGACGGGCCTTATGCAACTCCGCGTGAAGGGACCTACAAAGTTTATACACAGAATCCGAACAGTGTTGGGCGAAAATCCGTATAAATACTCATTCAAGTTTTCATATGAAAACCCATTGGTGAATGCCGCTGGAAGCTGGGCGGGAACCTCCAACCTTTCGGTCGTGAATCCGCTACCCTATCCACTGGGCTACGGCCGCCCCCCTGACATTGTTGGTATTACCACCATTACCACGAATTCCCACTCAGAGATGAGTGGGGAGATGCACAACGCTCCGGTTTTAGGCGATACCAAAAGCATGGCGCTAAATCGTAGCAGCGAGTCCAGCAGTAGGATTTCGTGATTATCGCCTCTGTCGATGTTACAGATTTCGCGTAGCCGCGCGGGTCATGATCATCGTTCCAGCCGATATTGCAGTCAGCGAAAATGAATGGATTGCTCGGTGGTGGGGAAAAAGTTGCCGCCCCTCACAAACCGTTCTTGACAAATAGGCGGAACAGCAAGGTCTTCCGTCCAACCAAACCCTAAACGTTTGTATGGACGTAATGCGCAAACAAATGTGTATATTCAAATAAATTTCAAAGTTATAAAAAATGCATAGAAATATTGGTTTTCACTCTTTACCTCTTATCATGCCGAAAATGAACATTAAAAAATGAATTGCGAAATTTGTTTATAAATGAAACGACCGAGAACAGTTCAAAACGAAATTTTGAAATATCATAGATAAATATCTATAATAAATTTAATTTAGTATTAAACGAGCATCGTGGCTGAGTCAATAACCTGTCAAGGTTCCTCTCTTTTAACTTTTCTAGGTTGCCCAAAGTTTATTTTATTCTCTTTTGTTCGTCCACGTGGAGAAGGGTGGCGCGAAAGTTCTTAACTGGAGTGCATCTTCATATTACTCTGCTTATATGTAAAGTAAGCGAAACGACAATAGTAAGCAGTTGAATAAACAATGAAATTCTAGAAATACAATTTCCGAAAGAAGTAAAACAAAGAGATGTTTTTAGCGTCTGGCTGGTGCACCCGGTTATGAATCGGGAGGTCTATGGTTCGAGACCCCTCTATGGAGAGCACTTTCTTTTTACAAAAAAAAAT